CAACAGCTGAGTGGTGTGACCCTCAATGGACCAACTCAACAGTTGAGTGGTGTGACCCTCAATGGACCAACTCAACAGCTGAGTGGTGTGACCCTCAATGGACCAACAGCTGAGTGGTGTGACCCTCAATGGACCAACAGCTGAGTGGTGTGACCCTCAATGGACCAACAGCTGAGTGGTGTGACCCTCAATGGACCAACAGCTGTGTGGTGTGACCCTCAATGGACCAACAGCTGTGTGGTGTGACCCTCAATGGACCAACAGCTGAGTGGTGTGACCCTCAATGGACCAACAGCTGAGTGGTGTGACCCTCAATGGACCAACTCAACAGCTGAGTGGTGTGACCCTCAATGGACCAACTCAACAGCTGAGTGGTGTGACCCTCAATGGACCAACTCAACAGCTGAGTGGTGTGACCCTCAATGGACCAACAGCTGAGTGGTGTGACCCTCAATGGACCAACTCAACAGCTGAGTGGCGTGACCCTCAATGGACCAACAGCTGAGTGGTGTGACCCTCAATGGACCAACTCAACAGCTGAGTGGTGTGACCCTCAATGGACCAACAGCTGAGTGGTGTGACCCTCAATGGACCAACTCAACAGTTGAGTGGTGTGACCCTCAATGGACCAACTCAACAGCTGAGTGGTGTGACCCTCAATGGACCAACAGCTGAGTGGTGTGACCCTCAATGGACCAACTCAACAGCTGAGTGGTGTGACCCTCAATGGACCAACAGCTGAGTGGTGTGACCCTCAATGGACCAACTCAACAGCTGAGTGGTGTGACCCTCAATGGACCAACAGCTGAGTGGTGTGACCCTCAATGGACCAACTCAACAGTTGAGTGGTGTGACCCTCAATGGACCAACTCAACAGCTGAGTGGTGTGACCCTCAATGGACCAACAGCTGAGTGGTGTGACCCTCAATGGACCAACTCAACAGCTGAGTGGTGTGACCCTCAATGGACCAACAGCTGAGTGGTGTGACCCTCAATGGACCAACAGCTGAGTGGTGTGACCCTCAATGGACCAACAGCTGAGTGGTGTGACCCTCAATGGACCAACAGCTGTGTGGTGTGACCCTCAATGGACCAACAGCTGTATGGTGTGACCCTCAATGGACCAACAGCTGAGTGGTGTGACCCTCAATGGACCAACAGCTGAGTGGTGTGACCCTCAATGGACCAACTCAACAGCTGAGTGGTGTGACCCTCAATGGACCAACTCAACAGCTGAGTGGTGTGACCCTCAATGGACCAACTCAACAGCTGAGTGGTGTGACCCTCAATGGACCAACTCAACAGCTGAGTGGTGTGACCCTCAATGGACCAACTCAACAGCTGAGTGGTGTGACCCTCAATGGACCAACTCAACAGCTGAGTGGTGTGACCCTCAATGGACCAACAGCTGAGTGGTGTGACCCTCAATGGACCAACTCAACAGCTGAGTGGTGTGACCCTCAATGGACCAACTCAACAGCTGAGTGGTGTGACCCTCAATGGACCAACAGATGAGTGGTGTGACCCTCAATGGACCAACTCAACAGCTGAGTGGTGTGACCCTCAATGGACCAACTCAACAGCTGAGTGGTGTGACCCTCAATGGACCAACAGCTGAGTGGTGTGACCCTCAATGGACCAACTCAACAGCTGAGTGGTGTGACCCTCAATGGACCAACAGCTGAGTGGTGTGACCCTCAATGGACCAACAGCTGAGTGGTGTGACCCTCAATGGACCAACAGCTGAGTGGTGTGACCCTCAATGGACCAACAGCTGAGTGGTGTGACCCTCAATGGACCAACAGCTGAGTGGTGTGACCCTCAATGGACCAACTCAACAGTTGAGTGGTGTGACCCTCAATGGACCAACAGCTGAGTGGTGTGACCCTCAATGGACCAACAGCTGAGTGGTGTGACCCTCAATGGACCAACTCAACAGCTGAGTGGTGTGACCCTCAATGGCTCAACTCAACAGCTGAGTGGTGTGACCCTCAATGGACCAACTCAACAGCTGAGTGGTGTGACCCTCAATGGACCAACTCAACAGCTGAGTGGTGTGACCCTCAATGGACCAACAGTTGAGTGGTGTGACCCTCAATGGACCAACAGCTGAGTGGTGTGACCCTCAATGGACCAACAGCTGAGTGGTGTGACCCTCAATGGACCAACTCAACAGCTGAGTGGTGTGACCCTCAATGGACCAACTCAACAGCTGAGTGGTGTGACCCTCAATGGACCAACAGCTGAGTGGTGTGACCCTCAATGGACCAACAGCTGAGTGGTGTGACCCTCAATGGACCAACTCAACAGTTGAGTGGTGTGACCCTCAATGGACCAACAGCTGAGTGGTGTGACCCTCAATGGACCAACAGCTGAGTGGTGTGACCCTCAATGGACCAACTCAACAGCTGAGTGGTGTGACCCTCAATGGACCAACAGTTGAGTGGTGTGACCCTCAATGGACCAACTCAACAGCTGAGTGGTGTGACCCTCAATGGACCAACAGCTGTGTGGTGTGACCCTCAATGGACCAACAGCTGAGTGGTGTGACCCTCAATGGCCCAACTCAACAGCTGAGTGGTGTGACCCTCAATGGACCAACAGCTGAGTGGTGTGACCCTCAATGGACCAACTCAACAGCTGAGTGGTGTGACCCTCAATGGACCAACAGCTGAGTGGTGTGACCCTCAATGGACCAACTCAACAGCTGAGTGGTGTGACCCTCAATGGACCAACAGCTGAGTGGTGTGACCCTCAATGGACCAACTCAACAGCTGAGTGGTGTGACCCTCAATGGACCAACTCAACAGCTGAGTGGTGTGACCCTCAATGGACCAACAGCTGAGTGGTGTGACCCTCAATGGACCAACTCAACAGCTGAGTGGTGTGACCCTCAATGGACCAACAGCTGTGTGGTGTGACCCTCAATGGACCAACAGCTGAGTGGTGTGACCCTCAATGGCCCAACTCAACAGCTGAGTGGTGTGACCCTCAATGGACCAACTCAACAGCTGAGTGGTGTGACCCTCAATGGACCAACAGCTGTGTGGTGTGACCCTCAATGGACCAACTCAACAGCTGAGTGGTGTGACCCTCAATGGACCAACTCAACAGCTGAGTGGTGTGACCCTCAATGGACCAACTCAACAGCTGAGTGGTGTGACCCTCAATGGACCAACAGCTGTGTGGTGTGACCCTCAATGGACCAACTCAACAGCTGAGTGGTGTGACCCTCAATGGACCAACAGCTGAGTGGTGTGACCCTCAATGGACCAACAGCTGAGTGGTGTGACCCTCAATGGACCAACAGCTGAGTGGTGTGACCCTCAATGGACCAACAGCTGAGTGGCGTGACCCTCAATGGACCAACTCAACAGCTGAGTGGTGTGACCCTCAATGGACCAACTCAACAGCTGAGTGGTGTGACCCTCAATGGACCAACTCAACAGCTGAGTGGTGTGACCCTCAATGGACCAACTCAACAGTTGAGTGGTGTGACCCTCAATGGACCAACAGTTGAGTGGTGTGACCCTCAATGGACCAACAGCTGAGTGGTGTGACCCTCAATGGACCAACAGCTGAGTGGTGTGACCCTCAATGGCCCAACTCAACAGCTGAGTGGTGTGACCCTCAATGGACCAACTCAACAGCTGAGTGGTGTGACCCTCAATGGCCCAACTCAACAGCTGAGTGGTGTGACCCTCAATGGACCAACTCAACAGCTGAGTGGTGTGACCCTCAATGGACCAACTCAACAGCTGAGTGGTGTGACCCTCAATGGACCAACTCAACAGCTGAGTGGTGTGACCCTCAATGGACCAACAGCTGAGTGGTGTGACCCTCAATGGCCCAACTCAACAGCTGAGTGGTGTGACCCTCAATGGACCAACAGCTGAGTGGTGTGACCCTCAATGGACCAACAGCTGAGTGGTGTGACCCTCAATGGCCCAACTCAACAGCTGAGTGGTGTGACCCTCAATGGACCAACTCAACAGTTGAGTGGTGTGACCCTCAATGGACCAACAGCTGAGTGGTGTGACCCTCAATGGACCAACAGCTGTGTGGTGTGACCCTCAATGGACCAACAGCTGAGTGGTGTGACCCTCAATGGACCAACTCAACAGCTGAGTGGTGTGACCCTCAATGGACCAACTCAACAGCTGAGTGGTGTGACCCTCAATGGACCAACTCAACAGCTGAGTGGTGTGACCCTCAATGGACCAACAGCTGAGTGGTGTGACCCTCAATGGACCAACTCAACAGCTGAGTGGTGTGACCCTCAATGGACCAACAGCTGAGTGGTGTGACCCTCAATGGACCAACTCAACAGCTGAGTGGTGTGACCCTCTCATGGCGATAATTTGTTTTAATTGGGAGGAGTAGCAAAATTGTGCTAATTATCAGTGTACACCTCCATGAATTAGAAAAAAACTGTTTTACTGTCTCGCCTGAAAGTCTGTGTATGTGTTAACATGATAACTTGACAACAGGACTGAAATTTTCTACATAAGAATTTGACTCTATACATAGGTTGCCATCAACTGCCAGTAACCAAAATCTGTAAGTTATTTGCAGTTTCTCAAAAGTCATCTTAATTAGATAATAATTTGATATCATATTCTCAAAAAAAAACATATTCTAAGAACTTTTGGCCTCAAAATGTTTGCTCAAAAAATGGAGGGCTTTGTGACAAACTTACCTCCCACTTCTATAGCCTGATTGAAATACCATCCTTGCCCTGACTGTTCTATACAAATATATCAATGTTAAGGGGAGCTCACTCCCACTACCACTCATTTCAAATGTAACGATATCTTTATTACAAAAGAGCATATGAATACTCCAGCATAGCTCAGTGTGTGGAAACATCAAATGGTTCACTCAGGAGTGTGTGGGTGTGTGTGTGTAAACTCCAGAGTGTGTGGGTGTGTGTGTGTGTAAACTCCAGAGTGTGTGAGTGTATGTAAACATCAACAATCAAGAGTGTGTGTGTGACTCACCTCTAGAAAGTACTGAGTAAAATTGATGTTCTCAAACACTCCAGTGAAGTTGGTTAGATCATTCTGGAGCTGAGGGCTTAGGATGGAAATGTTTTGGATGTTCCAGTTAGCACTTTGGTTCTTCAGATCTTCCAGCTGCTTCTCAAACTCCTGAAAGTCAAACATTTAACTAACTGATTTTCTTGCTTCTAACAGCAATTTTCTTCTCAAACTCCTGAAAGTCAAACATTTAACTAACTGATTTTCTTGCTTCTAACAGCAATTTTCTTCTCAAATTCCTGAAAGTCAAACATTTAACTAACTGATTTTCTTGCTTCTAACAGTAATCAAATTCATAAATAATGAATACATGAGGATGATATAAAAATTACCAACTAGAAAAAATGGGAGATAAAAAGCCTACTTACAGTCAGATTAGTTTTCTCATCCAAATCTATAGCATAGTCCAAATACAAAGGTAAAATTATACTTACAGTTAGATTAGTTTTCTCGTCCAAATCTATAGCATAGTCCAAATACAAAGCCCCAAACACTGCCGTGTTGTTCTGACAATTCCTACACACATAACAAGTTTAGATTGGATTAAAAATAACCTCTGTAAATATTAGAATCATATAAACATTACAGCAATAGCTATTTTCTAAAAAAACAATAAAGGCCAATTCAAACTTTAAATTATGCATTGATAATGGGTAAAGATTAAGAACATAATCTTTTAAGATAAGAATAAATTTAAAAGAAATTACTCAATTGCTCATCCACAAAGTACTTAAAAACAGTTTAAAATGTGAAACTTACTGAAGAATCTTAGATACCGACACATCATCTGGAGCAGTTTTGTAAATTTTTTCTTTCAAATTTAGTCCTTTATACAGAGCCTCATCAAAAACCTAGACAAAATGAACCAACAATAAAAACACATAATATGCTTGGTCAGCAATACAAGAACTAATAATAATAATAAATATGATAGTCAGCGGTAAATGAACCAATTATTAAAAAAAAAACTGTTTGGCCAACCTGAAGCTTAGAAGGATCTTTGCCATCAAAGAACCGACAGGCATCAGTGTAGAGGGGTCCACCCACGGCAAACAGCACCGTACACACAATCATCAGGATAGAGGAGAAAAGAAATGTAAAGGCCACACCCCTGAAAAACATGACCAAACAAATAAACAAACTTTGGAAAAGTTTCCCTTTCAAACCTTGCAATCCGTGGAGCAAATCAAGAAGAGGTCATTTGTTTCTGTGACCTCGGCATATGATGGGATAGTGTGGTCAGCAGTGTGCCCAACTGCTTTATCTTTGCCTTAGATACCCTGTCAGGGCTGACTGGCCTCAAGCATGCCCTACAGACTAGAGCCAGAGATCTGAACTCCAGACTTGCAGGTTAGCAGCCATGTGCTTTACTCTTTGACCACACTATCCCATACAAAAAATGTTAAAGGAAACAAAAATAGTTGCGACATCCTTGCAAAAAAAGATGTACAATTTATTTTGGTTGCCTGAAATTCTGATAAAGTATAAAAATTAAAGGTAGAGGCTTACAGGGCTTACAGTTAAAGGCTTACAGGTGGAGGCTTACAGGTGGAGGCTTACAGGTAGAGGCTTACAGGTGGAGGTTTTAGAGGCTTAGAGGTAGAGGCTTAGAGGTTGAGGCTTACAGATACTTACGCCATGAGGAAGTTTGAGCCAGTGCCAGTGTTGCAGCAGGGAGCGCCATCTCCAGGTCTTTCACCACATAGGCCAAACAAGATCCCAACGTAATACAGTGCCACTATCAGTATATAGGCACAGCAGACACCAATACCCGCATAGAACCTGGCCATTGAAACAAAACAAGATCCCAACGTAATACAGCGCCACTATCAGTATATAGGCACAGCAGACACCAATACCAGCATAGAACCTGGCCATTCAGAGCAAACATTTTTCTGATGTGAATGAATGTACACATATACTTCATATATACATTTAACTTATGAATGAGAAAATGGGAGAATGAATCATCAATCACTCACCCATAGCTACTGTAGTCTTTGATATAACCATCAACTTGGTTTATCTTTTTAAGTATAGATGGGAATTCTCTCAACTGTAACAAATATGTTCATGTTTAGATGGGAATTCTCTCAACTGTAACAAATATGTTCATGTTTAGATGGGAATTCTCTCAACTGTAACAAATATGTTCATGTTTAGAGGGGAATTCTCTCAACTGTAACAAATATGTTCATGTTTAGAGGGGAAAAAATCCATGGATAAGCAATTTTAGATTTAAATCTCTTCCCCCCCCCCCCCCCCCCCACAACCTTGCAAGCATCACATGCCATAAGAAATAACCAGACCCCCCCCCCCAGCCATAACAAAACTACTCACAGCATCACATGCCATAAGAAATAACCAGACCCCCCCCCCCCCCAACCATAACAAAACTACTCACAGCATCACATGCCATAAGAAATAACCAGACCCCCCCCCCCCAGCCATAACAAAACTACTCACAGCATCACATGCCATAAGAAATAACCAGACCCCCCCCAACCATAACAAAACTACTCACAGCATCACATGCCATAAGAAATAACCAGACCCCCCCCAGCCATAACAAAACTACTCACAGCATCACATGCCATAAGAAATAACCAGACCCCCCCCCCCCCCAGCCATAACAAAACTACTCACAGCATCACATGCCATAAGAAATAACCAGACCCCCCCCCAACCATAACAAAACTACTCACAGCATCACATGCCATAAGAAATAACCAGACCCCCCCCCCAGCCATAACAAAACTACTCACAGCATCACATGCCATAAGAAATAACCAGACCCCCCCCCCCCCAGCCATAACAAAACTACTCACAGCATCACATGCCATAAGAAATAACCAGACCCCCCCCAGCCATAACAAAACTACTCACAGCATCAAATGCCATAAGAAATAACCAGACCCCCCCCCCCCCCAGCCATAACAAAACTACTCACAGCATCATCCTTGGTAGTTATGAGCTCATCCATGCCCTTATTAATTTTATTTCTGACGTCCAGGATAGTTTTATCAACATCTGCAGGTGAAATATTGCAGGTGAGAGGTAGCAGACATGTAACTAGTTTGTCAGGTGAGACCCTCTTTAAAGTAAAAATCATTTTTAGACCTAGCAATCCATTGGGCAGATGATGTATAGTTCATATGTTTCTTGATCTCGGCATATGAAAGAAAGTTGTGGTCAGCACTTTACCCAGCCACCTTTACTTTCCGTAACATCAGTTGCATATCCATCAGAGCTGGGTGGACTCAGGTTCTACTTGACATTTTTCCAGTTTGATTGTTTACTTTAACATTGTTGTGATGTTAGTTTTACTTTGTTGTGATGTTACTTTTACATTGTTGTGATGTTACTTTTACATTGTTGTGATGTTAATTTTACTTTGTTGTGATGTTAATTTTACTTTGTTGTGATGTTACTTTTACATTGTTGTGAAATTACTTTTAATTTGCTGTGGGTCTACTTGTATATAGTTGTCAACACAGTATATTTATATATTTTGCCAAATCATATATCAGTTAAATAATCAATTGTATTTTTTAATTAATTTTAATTGTATAGTTGGATGCCAGTGACAATTTTTTAAAAATCCAACTTGTACCAGACAGAGTATTACAGGTGAGGAAAGAGATTCTAGAAAACACAGTCAACATCTATTTAAGTATCTGAAAACTATGTTGCCTTGATTGCTAGCTCATTACCAGCAGCAAAAGTTTTGAAATTTTAGCAGAAATAAATGTCAACTATTGACAGTTTAAAAAAATTAATAAATATAAAAAGTTAACCAACCGCCACTTTTAAGATTAATTTGATTTGAAGCATCTCGTTTGGCATTATCTAGGGATGTTTCAGCCTGTAAAAAAAACAATGTAAAAAGTTTTGTCAGACAATCTTGAAGAAATAATTTGGCACTTTCTACACTATTAATAGAATATATAGAACAAAACTAATCAAGCAAACGAAAGTCAAATTTATCTGGCAAGGTTTTGTATTTGATACTTCATACTGTAAGTAAACAAGAAAGCAATTGCTATTTTGTAGATTACAAATAAATCTACATCTACAAATAAACCTACCTCCAGAAATAAACCTACATCTACAAATAAACCTACCTCTACAAATAAGCCTACCTCTACAAATTAACCTACCTCTACAATTAAACCTACCTCTACAAATAAACCTACCTCTACAAATAAAATCTACCTCTACAAATAAACCTACCTCTACAAATAAACCTACCTCTACAAATAAACCTACCTCTACAAATAAACCTACCTCTACAAATAAACCTACCTCTACAAATAAACCTACCTCTACAAATAAACCTACCTCTACAAATAAACCTACCTCTACAAATAAACCTACCTCTACAAATAAACCTACCTCTACAAATAAACCTAGATCTACAAATAAACCTACCTCTCTAATATATGAAGACATGTTCAAAGTTTTTTTCACTTTCTCAGCTTCATCACTCAAAGACTTCAGCTGGGAAAAGTTTATTTATTTGGGTGTCAGATGGAACTAGACTACCCGTCATCCGTTGGATAACTGTGGGTTTCGGGGGTCATCCATCAAAAAACATCACGTCTGTCACTCAGAGGCATAGCGATCCTTCCCGGCGCCCGGGGACAAACTTTTCGATTTGAACCCCCCCCCCCCGCAAGATTTCGATTTGCACCCCCCCCCCCCTCAAACTTTTTATGTGCACCCCCCCCCATTCAAACTTTCGATTTGCACCCCCCTCAACCTTTCAATTTATTTTTCCAAACCATTTTGGCGCCCCAACATATGTCCCCCCACGCGCCCCCCCTTCCCCCCTCCACCTCCCCTTCCCCCCCCCCCGCCTCCCATCCCCCTCCCGCCCCCCCCCCTCCTCGCTACGCTACTGCAGTGTCACTTATCGTCACAAAAAACAGATCCCACATTCAAAAATATGTTTCTTATCTTTTAAAAACACCGAAAACACCGATTTCGGACTATCCCTTCATATACTGACGTCACATGTGACCTACTCAACTCTACTTCACCTGCCCAGTGTCCCGCCAAGTCTCAGACAACATGTTTTTATCGTTTAAAAAACGATTCCAGCCGAGCATGTCTCTGACCACACTATCCTTTCATATGCTTAGGACAAAGAAACAGATGAACTCTACTTCACCTGCCTTGTATCCTTCCAAGTTCAGATAGGCAACTTTATCATTCACATCTAAAAAAAAAAAAAAATATCATTGACATATTGGTCTAGAACCTGTGCCACCCACATGAGAGCGGGCTACGCTACCAACTTAGCTATTTACACGTGACGTCACAAGTGAATTTTTATACTATACTTATGCAACTTGATTTAAGCGCATAGATTCTAGATCTAGATCTAAGTCTAGTTAAGTAGTACTAACTTTCAAATTAAATTTTATCTTAAATTAGCCAATTCCATAGAAACTTATTATTATCTAAATCTAGATAGAATTATCTATATTCTAGATCTACGACTGAGCTATATCTAGAGTTTACGTTCATAATTTTGCAAAATTAGCAGTATAGAAGCCGCGTATAAATCTTAAATTATGCAAATAGAGGCCATGGAGCGAGCATTTCCTAATTAGCATATTTCATAGCTATACAAACAAAGATTTATATAAAATAAAAAAGGTCTGAAATTATCTAGATCTAGATAGAATTATCTAGATCTAGATTCTACGACTCGTTTGCTTAAGTCTTAAGTTTAGTTTTTCTTGCTAGATCTAGAATCTAGATCTAGATCTAATCATTAGCTACGCTGATGGGCCCGGAGCGAGCATTTCAAAATTACCATATTCCAAACAAAGATTTATATAAAATAATAAAGGTCTAAAATAGTTTAGTATATAGAAAATCACTATTATCTAAATCTAGATAGAATAGAATTATCTATATTCTAGATCTACGACTGGTTTGCTTAAGTCTCTTTTTTTTTTTGGATTGTATTTAGGCCTATAATCAATAAATATTTGATTTGACCTAGATTCTAGATCTAGATCTATAAATAAATAAATAACTTTCTTGGACAGATTGTAGATCTAGAGAAATTTATCGTAAAACTAAATGAAAAAGACAGTTGAAAATTGATATAAGTGTTGGAACGTAATAAATACAGCAAACGGACGTATTGTTAAAGTTATGACCGACAGAAAATTAGATTTGATTTGACCTAGATTCTAGATCTAGATCTATAAATAACTTTCCTTCGACAGCTGATCTTTAGATCTAGAGAAATTTATTGAAAAACTAAATGAAAAAAGACAGTTTAAAATTGATATAAGTGTTGGGACGTAATAAATACAGCAAACGGACGTATTGTTAAAGTTATGACCGACAGAAAATTAGATTTAGAACGCGTTAAACTTTTGAATGGGAACACAATTTTCTTCAATAGACGCCGCCATTTTATTGTACTAAAGAGTAAACAAAAACCTGTGACGTCACTATTCCCACAAAGTTTAGTCAAGGTTTTAACATTTTAAAAAAAAATGGGTTATTCTGCGTAGGAATAAATCAATAAATTAATTAACGTCTTTAAATAAATTTGTGATCAACAGTCTGTCTGCATTAAAAAATTATTCTCTACCTGCATACCATTTTACAGCTTTCCAGATAGAGTCGAACATATCACAATTTTCGATCAGGCAAACAAATAAATATTCAAACATGTAAACAAACTTGACTTTTAGTAGTATATAGATAGATGTTATGGACATGAAAACATTTAAGTCATATTTATAAGCTCACTTCACAAACCAGACATTTTTAAGCTGACTTCACAAACCAGACATTTTTAAGCTGACTTCACAAACCAGACATTATAAAAAGAAGCTAAAGCATGCAATATTAAGACCCTAATGTTATTCTAATAAAAGTAAAATAAAGAGTCCTCTTTAGACCTAGCGATTCAGCCACCTTTACTTTCCCCAATGCAAGTCAGGTACCCATCAGAGCTGGGTGGACCCAATGACCTCCCACAGACACAAGTCTGAACTGAAATCCGAACACAAGATGTTTGGGCTAGCAGCCAAATGCTCTATCATTTGACCAAGCCGCCCCACAATGTTATTCTAATAAGGCTTCAATAATATACAAGTGTCCACAGTATTTTATCCTTGGCTTCTACATTCTATTAAAAACATCACAGTTTAAAGCCATAAAACAGCAAAACTTACAGAAGAAAAATTGGCGTTGGTGTCATAGTCTTCAGATTTAAAGCCCGAGCAACTGATACCATTACATGCTTCATGTATGTCTTGTTTGATCTCCGTCAGATTCTTGCTGAGCTGTGTGCCATCATCACTCAGTGCCAGTAGACTGGCCTGCACTTGCTCCAGTTGTTGGACTGTCCAGTTGGCCTCTACAGGTGGTTGTTTTTTTTGTTGTTTTTTTTTTTGGGGGGGGGGGGGGGGGGGACAGGGAAGGAATGTCAGAAAACATGTGTAAAGAGTGGGTCAACTATTATTTAACTGATGGATGGTAAAAAAACAGAATTTGTTAAAATGCTGTACCTTGACTGATAGAATTGGCTTCGTCCAGCAAAGTTTTCGCATGAAGTTCAGCAATTACTGTGTCCACTGCATCAATGGCTGTATCTATTCAAACAAAATGTGTATTAGATAGCATCAATAGCTGTATCTATTCAAACAAAATGTGTATTAGATAGCATCAATGGCAGTATCTATTCAAACAAAATGTTTATTAGCATCAATGGCAGTTTCTATTCAAACAAAATGTGTATTAGATAGCATCAATGAGCTCTGAAGGTAAACACAACAGACGCAGCTAGTTTATGAAATCACTGAGATATTTTCTCAGACAAGTCTACAAAACACAAGTCTAGAAAACCAGAAGATTTTATACAAACAATGGCATTAGCTAAATACAGCTGAGTTTGATGAGAAGCCCCAATCATTACTAGATCTAGACACAACATTTGCTCTTGTCCATTTAGTCTTTTGAGTAGCCATTTTAAAAAAATCAAGAGCAGGAAAAACAGTTGAAATTTTTTTAAAACAGTCTTGTAAAGTTTGCAAATGAAGAAAACTTGAAAATATATTTTTTTGGCCTTTTTGGCTATATTTCTTTTTACTTATATCAACCTTACATTTTAATTTTGAAGTTTGAGTTTGTGTAAGACAAGCTTTGATTGGTTGTATCGTTGGTCATGATTTTATTACTCAAAACTTTTCCAGTTAATATTTTTGATAAACTTGTTTTAGTGAATGACAGCATGACCTGGTTACTTCATACAATACACACACTCAACTTTCACAAAACACACACTCAACTTTCACAATACACACAATCAACTTTAGTAACACTGCACAAAGTTTGTTAAATATTTAAAGAGCATGTGAGAGTATTCCCAGGTAGTGCTATGGGTCTAGAGAAACAAAACCTGTCATGCATGAAAAAAAAACATGTATCAGCTTACCATTTATATCCTTGCGAATTTTCTGGCTCGTGGTGTCAAATGTCTCAATGACATATTTTGTCACGTTCTGAGGGTAGCAAAAATTAGATTAGAAACTAAGATACAAAACAAATAATGAGCTAAATGTTGTATGTTAATGATGTCTTACATCTTTAGTCTGTTTATAACCCGACCCATCTACTGACACACACAAAACATTAGGCTCCTAAAATGACACAGCTCCTAAAATAACACAGCTCCTAAAATAACACAGCTCCTAAAATGACACAGCTCCCCCAACCCACCATCGTCAAAAAATGTCAGGTTCCTAATATGATGACTCAAATACCCCCACCCTTTAAAATAACAGTAATAACAATAATCCTAACTTCAAGAAGTTTTAAATAAGTAAGTTCCTAAACTCATGAAAAAAATTGTAAACTTCAAAAGGCAAGAGCAAACTTACAATAACAGAAGTGTTGAGAAAGTTCTCCACACCATGTAAGGCATCACTGACGTAGCCCACAGAACTTTGACTGTCATCATTCTTTAGGTGCTGGTAGATCAGGCTATTGCAGATAAAGGCACAGATACACCCAGCTCTGGGGAATAGAGATTTAATATCTGGTTACCCAGGCCATTACAGATACAGGACCTTATACATACAGCCTACAGAGAAAAAATTATTTCAACAATGTCATTTCTATTAGTTTACACATATTATATGAGATATTCAAGATGTCATTTCTATTTGTACACACATATTATGTATGAGCTATTCAACAATGTCATTTCTATTAGAATACACATATTATGTATGAGACATTCAACGATGTCGTTTCTAATAGAATACACATATTATGTATGAGCTATTCAACAATGTCATTTCTATTAGAATACACATATTATGTATGAGCTATTCAACGATGTCATTTCTATTAGTATACACATATTATGTATGAGCTATTCAACGATGTCTTTTCTAATAGAATACACATATTATGTATGAGACATTCAACGATGTCATTTCTATTAGAATACACATATTATGTATGAGCTATTCAACGATGTCTTTTCTAATAGAATACACATATTATGTATGAGACATTCAACGATGTCATTTCTATTAGAATACACATATTATGTATGAGACATTCAACAATGTCATTTCTATTAGAATACACATATTATGTATGAGACATTCAACAATGTCATTTCTATTAGTATACACATATTATGTATGAGACATTCAACAATGTCATTTCTATTAGTATACACATATTATGTATGAGACATTCAACAATGTCATTTCTATTAGAATACACATATTATGTATGAGACATTCAACAATGTCATTTCTATTAGAATACACATATTATGTATGAGACATTCAACAATGTCATTTCTATTAGAATACACATATTATGTATGAGACATTCAACAATGTCATTTCTATTAGTAAACACATATTATGTATGAGACATTCAACAATGTCATTTCTATTAGTAAACACATATTATGTATGAGACATTCAACAATGTCATTTCTATTAGTAAACACATATTATGTATGAGACATTCAACAATGTCATTTCTATTAGTAAACACATATTATGTATGAGAACGTCTGAGTGAACCAGCCTTAAAAAAATGCACGTACAAGGCCACCGTGTTGAAGATCAGCAACACGGTGCAGTAGGCTCTTCTCTTGCACCGCCCTCTCTTGGACTCTGTTTTCTTTTTCTTGGCGCCGCACCGCCCACAACAGCAGCGGCAACAGCAGAATATCAGGCCTATGATGGGCATCACTACGATGAACACGATGCCTATAGCTACACACACCGAGTACCCTATCCAATATTTCAGAAGCTGCCATTTGAAAAAAGATGGACTGTTAGAAAATTTTAATCTTACAACAAAGAAAAAATAATATTGGCTTTTACTTGATGGGCTAAGGTGAAATTATTTGGGCTAATGTTAAATTATTTGGGCTAAGGTGAAATTATTTGGGCTAAGGTGAAATTATTTGGGCTAATGTTAAATTATTTGGGCTAATGTTAAATTATTTGGGCTAATGTTAAATTATTTGGGCTAATCTTAAATGAGTTCAGTTAATGTGAAATTATTTGGGTTGATATTAAATTATTTAAACAAGTGAATTGTGCTGGCTTTGAGAAAAATATTCTATAAATGTTTATGATAACCATTAAAACAAATAACTCCTACACATTCAGCGAACCATTAAAACAAATAACTCCTACACAGCTAACCATTTTAAAATTATCTATGCATCTAGCTGACCATTAAATAAAATGTTTCTTTGGGCACATAAAAAAAAAATCCTAATTAAAATGGATTAGATCACATAAATCATCAACTTACAGATTTCCAATCTTTGAGCCATTCTGTATCTTCATTTAAAATAACATTTGTAAGGTCTGAAACAGAAAGGTTGGAGTTAGGTGAACTCATAAAGTTCTTGTGCCAGTATGTGAGAAAATAATTTGATTTGTTTTTCAAAATTGTAGCTCTATGTAAATATATTGTTTCCACAATTATAACTATATATATTTTTTTTATTTTTTTATCATTTTTTACATTTGAGATACCTAAAAAAAAACTGGATCAGGAAAATTAACTAAGGGGACAAAACTTATCCAGGCTTGCCAGATGCAGGCCACTGCAAGGGGAAGCAGCTCTTTCAAATGTTTATGTCCACTTAGGTTTATATTTTGTGAATCAAATAACAAACTAACAAGTAGAGACACTTAATTTAATCTTGTATTTTTTAAAACACTTAAAAATACATATAATTGTTAATTATCAATAAACTATTAAAAATGCATTTTACTTATTTTTTCTAAATTAATTTAGAATTTAGCAACAAACATAGGCCTATCTGTCTAAAAACAGCTGGTGTCATGTTCTAAAATAAATTAACATACCGGTCCTGCATTTGCCGCTGGCAATTTTCTATGGGGATTTTATAAAAGCATTTCCAATCATGAATTTAAAGGTATGTCACCTTGTTTTCTAAAACAGTGTCATTTAAATGTAAACAAAGCAGGCGCCAAATTTCTTGGATCATAGTTATTGGGGCTACAGTATGTCCATAACCCCCCCCCCCCCCCAAACCCCAGGGCATGCTGTATGAATGCTCCACCCCCCCCCCCTCCAAACCCCAGGGCATGCTGTATGAATGCTCCACCCCCCAAACCCCAGGGCATGCTGTATGAATGCTCCACCCCCCCCCAAACCCCAGGGCATGCTGTATGAATGCTCCACCCCCACCCCCCAAACCCCAGGGCATGCTGTATGAATGCTCCACCCCCCAAACCCCAGGGCATGCTGTATGAATGCTCCACCCCCCCCCCCCAAACCCCAGGGCATGTTGTATGAATGCTCCACCCCCCAAACCCCAGGGCATGCTGTATGAATGCTCCACCCCCCCCCCCCCCCCAAACCCCAGGGCATGCTGTATGAATGCTCCACTCCCCAAACCCCAGGGCATGCTGTATGAATGCTCCACCCCCCCCCCCCCAAACCCCAGGGCATGCTGTATGAATGCTCCACCCCCCAAACCCCAGGGCATGCTGTATGAATGCTCCACCCCCACCCCCCAAACCCCAGGGCATGCTGTATGAATGCTCCACCCCCCAAACCCCAGGGCATGCTGTATGAATGCTCCACCCCCCAAACCCCAGGGCATGCTGTATGAATGCTCCACCCCCCCCCCCCCCTCCAAACCCCAGGGCATGCTGTATGAATGCTCGAGTGTACATTAATCACCCTTTGTTATAGTTAGATAGAACAAACTTTGGCAACTGCACAGATGGTTTGTTTTAATCAATAATATTGTGTGCCAAATTGTCCCTATTGTAAGGTGCTCTTTAAAACAAACATAGATGTCATAGGTGGGAGCTCAGGGCACCAACTCGCATCTTGTAGGGTGCTGGAGAGGCGCTGGAGGATGCACAAATTTTATTTAGTGAATGATATAGTTGTCCATCGTATCCATAGTGTATTACACTCTTTAAAAAAAAAACGTAGACGCTCACACAAAAGGCCTGATTGCCAAATTGCACCATGCATGAAATTTACGTTTTTCCCCAGCAGAAACCTGCCCAGGAGTATTCTCAACAACTTCCCAAAGTTTCATGGCCATCAGATTAAAAGGTGTAGCAACACATATACTTTCATTTAAATATATATATGTGTGTGTGTGTGTGTGTGCGTGTGTGTGTGATCGTGTGTGTGTGTGTGTGTGTGTGTAAATAGCAGGGATTTGCTGATGTGGGATGAGTTTCTAAAAGTTCTATTTTAGTCACGTACACAGATTTGTACATGTCACGTACACAGATTTGGTACCTGTAATCTTCAAATCTTCAAGTCATGTTGTATACACAGATTTAGTACATGTAGCCATACATGTAGCCCATAAGTCATGCAACAAACTGATTTGCTTCCTGGTTTGGTCTGACAACAAATTGATTTGATTTACAATATTCACTGGAGTGGTGTTATACCCCATGCCCCCCCCCCCCCCCCCCCCCCCAGTCATGACGGGAGAGATTTGATTGGATATTTATCTGAGAGCAGATTTGTGTCAACCCAATGAAGACAGGAACAAATGCAGGAAATGGCATGGAGAAAGTCCAGGTGGTCAGATGGTCAGTTATAGAGCAGAATGAGGAAATATTACAAGCAATACAATGTTGCACCACAGTCGCAACTATCACCACAAAACTATTGAGAAAAAGTATGTTATTAAACCAAACAGCAGCCAATTACAAACAAAGTATGTATTAAAACTCATGGTTCATGACAGAAGCTTGACAGTCTGACTAAATTTTTAACATGTTCTAAACTTTGATAACCAGATCACAAGCAAAAATCATTAACACACCACAATTAAAGATTAAGGCAATGATGAGTTAATTAGTGAAACACATAATTTATTTGATTGATGACCTCCTGCTGGTCAAAAACATCCTAAATTAGGGTCAAAGTTTTTAACCTGGTCTGGACAAGCCAGCTTTAAAAACCTGGTCTGGACAAGCCAGCTTTAAAAAACCTGGTCTGGACAAGCCAGCTTTAAAAACTTGGTCTGGACAAGCTAGCTTTAAAATCCTGGTCTGGACAAGCCAGCTTTAAAAACTTGGTCTGGACAAGTTGGCTTTAAAAACCTGGTCTGGACAAGCCAGCTTTAAACACAGTGCTTAACGCTTGTTAAAGGTCAGACAACAATTACCGTCTAAAGGTCAGAACTTACATTAGTCTATTTTTACGACATTCTCCAGGTCACAAAAAGATAACACCTCCCCCCCCCTCCCATAACTACTTCCTTCCCCAACCCCCACCCTGTTGTGTTAACTACTGCCTGACCACCCCACCCATCCCAGCAAATTATATACACCACCACAGAGAAGGGTTACCAGTCATTCAACTTTGTCTGACAATAGCTTGGTTAAAACTGGCTTCTTCCAGAACTCAAAATTACACTCATTGCAACTTGGAGTTATGTGCAGCAAGATATCACATGTACATAATTAGGCCCCCTCTCACATTTTCTTTTAAACCAGTCTTAAGAAAAGACAACAAAAATCACCATGAACTACTCTAAAATTGGCTCCATCAAAAGGGATGGGGGGTGGGGAGGTTCAAACATATTTCACAAGCCACGGCACTGGGTGACACCACTGACATTGGATAATTTATTGCGCCATGCCATTTTTCAAACCTCTCACAAGACCCAATCTATAAATAGCTACTGCTAGGGTCAAGGTTACACAGATATTACAACATGGGACCATTGAGCCTAAGTGCATGAGCGTTGAAATTTTGTAAGTAGATCACTCAGAAGATATCATGCTAGCAGCTACTGCTTGCTCAACAAGTGGGACGGGGGAGTTCCCAGGTTTTACAAGTAGAATATAGAAGCCATGTTTTACAAGTAGAATCTAGAAGCCATGTTTTACAAGTAGAATCTAGAAGCCATGTTTTACAAGTAGAATCTAGAAGCCATGTTTTACAAGTAGAATCTAGAAGCCATGTTTTTCAAGTAGAATCTAGAACCCATGTTTTACAAGTAGAATCTAGAACCCATGTTTTACAATTAGAATCTAGAAGCCATGTTTTACAAGTAGAATCTAGAAGCCATGTTTTACAAGCAGAATCTAGAAGCCATGTTTTACAAGTAGAATCTAGAAGCCATGTTTTTCAAGTAGAATCTAGAACCCATGTTTTACAAGTAGAATCTAGAACCCATGTTTTACAAGTAGAATCTAGAACCCATGTTTTACAATTAGAATCTAGAAGCCATGTTTTACAAGTAGAATCTAGAACCCATGTTTTACAAGTAGAATCTAGAACCCATGTTTTACAATTAGAATCTAGAAGCCATGTTTTACAATTAGACTCAGCGAGTTGTTATGATCAAATAGAATCAGGGAATTATTTTTAATAAAATCCGGAAGTTGTTTTCCAAGTAGACTTAGGAAAATTCCATATTACAAGTATAATAAGGATTCCACCAACTATAAATCTTGAAAAGCTGATCTCAGGTCCCACCCCCCCAACCCTCTCCTGGTCTGTTTTTCAAGATATTTGTGTGTGTCACAATACAGGTGTGTGTGTGTGTGTGTGTGTCACAACACAGGTGCGTATGTCACAATACAGGTGTGTGTGTCACAATACAGGTGTGTGTGTCACAATACAGGTGTGTGTGTCACAATACAGGTGTGTGTGTGTCACAACACAGGTGCATATGTCACAATACAGGTGTGTGTGTCACAATACAGGTGTGTGTGTCACAATACAGGTGTGTGTGTCACAATACAAGTGTGTGTGTCACAATACAGGTGTGTGTGTGTGTCACAATACAGGTGTGTGTGTGTCAAAATACAGGTGTGTGTGTCACAATACAAGTGTGTGTGTCACAATACAGGTGTGTGTGTCACAATACAGGTGTGTGTGTGTCACAATACAGGTGTGTGTCACAATACAGGTGTGTGTGTCACAATACAGGTGTGTGTGTCACAATACAAGTGTGTGTGTCACAATACAGGTGTGTGTGTGTCACAATACAGGTGTGTGTCACAATACAGGTGTGTGTGTCACAATACAGGTGTGTGTGTCACAATACAGGTGTGTGTGTCACAATACAGGTGTGTGTGTCACAATACAAGTGTGTGTGTCACAATACAGGTGTGTGTGTGTGTCACAATACAGGTGTGTGTGTCACAATACAGGTGTGTGTGTCACAATACAGGTGTGTGTGTCTCAACACAGGTGTGTATGTCACAATACAGGTGTGTGTGTGTCATAATACAGGTGTGTGTCACAATACAGGTGTGTGTGTCACAATACAGGTGTGTGTGTCACAATACAGGTGTGTGTGTGTGTCACAATAGAGGTGTGTGTGTGTCAAAATACAGGT